TTTTGCTCTGACGGCACATTGGTTGCAGCTACTTTTGCCCTGGCAGTGGCAGTGTGGGCAGTATTATACAGTCATACAAGACCACACCTAGTCTGTCCCTTAATTCCTTTTGCAGTGCATATAAGTCAGACCCGCATGTCGGCAGAGCCCTACCTCCATCCTTATGACGCCAAACCAACCAGGGACACCCCTCCTTCTCCACGAGCCACAGATGATAGCCATAACACCGCACACACCGCTTTCAAGATTGAATGACTCCAGTCAAAACAGCCAAATCACAAACCTGCCTCTTCACCTGCTGTACTCTCTCAGCCTTGGTTTGATTCAAAAACTCCACAATTCAAGAGTAAACGCAGATTTTTCAGGACAAAGGTTTTTAGATAGGTAAATGGGTCAACACACATCATGTCCGAATTCTTTTCTCTAACATATTAAGTTTATGCGAGAGAGATTAATTTGTGCATGGCCGAATAGCGCTGCAGCTGGTAAGCCAGAATCCTGTCAGGTGTTTCACAGATATCGGTCCCGCAGCAGAAGACTTCCTTATCTGCTCGGTGAAGCGAGTTGTTGGTTCCACTTGACCTGCTCTGTCCTTTCATGAGCACTGTTGGAGGTAGACCGTCAAAGAGCCAACGCAGATTCACCCAGTCATAAATACTTGAATACTTAGCGAGCACATTCTTTGAACTAAAAAGCGGTACTGCAGCGTGTCTGAGCCGGGCCTGCTCTTCTGTGAGAGATACTGCTCAGGAACACATTGGCTTTGCAATGTTCTAACACCAGATAATTTAATGGCAAATCCCCATGTCACATGACAAATGCAGCGTAAAACACTGTAAACAAAGTAGTGAGAGCTTCTATTTTGATTGTATATTTATATGAGTGCTGTGAAGAACTGTCTAAATCTAGACAATGTGGCACCATGATAAAATATTATTCAGTTATCTATAACACCAACATCAAAGTCTGGTTTCCATGTCAGAATTTCAATCAAAGAGCAGAAGCCTTTTTTTCTTGGAACTCAATCTGATACAGATGTTCAGCAACCATGCAAACACAGATTCATCATATCAGTGGCCTGGAAATTGTGTTGCAGTCTCACATTCAACTGGTCGGTTAATAGACTCAGACTAAATTCTCATTGGTCAGACAATCAGTGGTGATTGATGCTTAACGAGAAAAGCGCTTCATCAGTAAACTTCCAGGATTAATCTATTATGTTGAGCAGAGTCAGACTTTTCCACTTTTCTGCAAAACTAATGACTTTTTAAAGATGTGATCATGGGGACCTTCACCAAGGATAAACTTGGGGGAAATAGTTTGGATAAAGCTAAATAACAATAACTTAGAATGGAAGGTCTCTTATTCAACGTTTACTGAAGGTTTACTCAGTTTCTGCCCAAACCAACATGTATGTCTTAGATTAATCTCTAAAAATGTTGAGCTATCACAAGTTTGCCAAAGGAATTCAAATAAAAAACTAAATGTTGAACGTTTGATTCCAAAATTAGATGATATCCAGAATCAGTGAGACCCACAATCAAAAAATGATTAGGCACCCTCAAGCAAATCCCAGCCAATAACTTTTTATTTGATATAATTACATCACCTAGACATGGATGTTGATGAGCAGAGTGTAGGGCCTTCCTGTGCGTGAGGCCCTGGTGTTTGTTTGGCCAGCAAGTCCTGGCTCGTGTAACGTGTTGTCTCTTCTCTGAGCTTTGCATGGGTCACAGAAGCCACCGTCCATACACACTTCCAGGAAAAGAGGTTTGACATCACATCAAGAGATGATCGCAGCAACGTTGACCTGTGCTGCCGCTTTGACAACACACCAGAGAAATGTTGACGTCACTCTGCTGTAGTTTTTCCAGGGGTCTACTTGGCCAGACTCAGCACAGTAGTGGTTTGGAATGTGATCAGGTCAACCTTTGTGTTAATTTGATCAGTGGCAGTAATCACACATGTGGAAGGGAAGCCAGGGATGTACAGCTGTAGTGTGTATTAGAAAGGTGAAACTGAAAATGTTTCCAGCCTGACTGGTGCTAGCAAAAATAAAAGATATGGACAAACGGCTTTCTCACAAATAAAAATACAAACGGAGAGCTCCACAAACTACCATGAAACCATCGTTAATCCTCTTTACTTTGATCTTAAGTGACAATTAGCAAATCCACTGGAAGCACGTGACACCACAACATCTCCAATAAATCCCAGAGAGACAGGGTGTCCCAAAAACACAGCGACTGCAAAAACCACATCTCTGCACATCAGTCGCCAGCACCTCTTCTCAAACTTTCCCTGAGACAAACAACTTGGCCTCGACTTGTTGTGTAATTGCGTCGTCTCTGCTGCTGAAGCCAACGGCTTAATTCAGTATAGTGGTGAGACAGTAACACAACAGAGCCCTTCCCAAAAGAAACTAACGTCTTATTTTTCCTTGAAATGAGGCCTGGGCTCATTAGCGTTGGTCTAACCAGTGTTATTAGAGCTATTTGAATCTGCATAAAGACGTCTAGCTGCTCTTCCTGTGATTGCATTAGACTGAGTCAACTCTCCAAAACCAAATGGTCTTCCTCAAGGGCAATTTGGTCTCACGGGTAAAAGTCAAACACTCATGTTGTTGTGACCACATCAATGCCAGGTAGAGCAGCACGGTGACAGACATATGGGCACACACACACTTAAACTCACAAACATTAAAATACAGTCACAGTCGTAAACAGCAGCCCAGTGCTCACCAGACTTAACACCAGCTAATTGCTCATGTATGGTTCCTTTCACTCCACACACACATGCTCAAACACACACACACACACACACACATTGCTTAGCATGCTGGGTCCCTGGTCTGTCTATAGCTGTGACGTCTTACATGTGGAGCGTTGTTGATATAAGGAGTAACACAAGTGGAAAATTGGAGCTGGTGGGGCCAGACTGCTGACTTCCTGATAGGAAGAGAGTGGAGGTTGACCCATATATATTTATATGCACACGTATGTATGTGTTTAAAGCGGTTAACAGGCTCTGACACCACGAGAGACGCACACAAAAGGCCTGTGTAGCTCCGAGCATCATGTAACATGGATACAGATTGTTGGTATTTAGTGAAATAGTTTTGTCAACTATAACGACCTTCGTCAAGGTCCAAGCTCCATTCAGAGTGATTGTTTAATTCCTAGAAACTCAACGATATGACTCAGCCAATAAATACAAGCAGTGAAATATATAGCAAGTACTGAAAACTCACTTCAGAGCTGGGCTGTAACTTCTTTAAACCAACCATAGAGAGAAATAAAGTACAAAATAACATAGAAATAGACAAAAGGGATCTATTCTCTGCTGTGTGTGTGTGTATATACAGGCCATTCTACTTTTATTGCTGCATTTCATTGCTAATCTGATCCCTCCGGAGAGTTTTATTTTGACAGTGTATTCTTGCCTAAATCAAGGATGTATAATTGCAAGTTAGGTATTTTCTGCATGATGAGCTCCGTGGTTGAGATCAAAAAAGGGATGTTTCATGGGTCACTGGGAAAGCTCTGAACGCTGGAGTATTTTGGGGCCGTGGCAGTCGAATCTGTTCATTTCCTGATGGAGTCTTGTGCCCCTGTGTGTAAAAAGTAGCTTGAGTTTTAGCTTGATTGTTTTGAGATATAAAAAGTTTATCTCAGGCAGCACTGAGATTTGAAGCCATATTTCTAATTATGACGTTGTGTTGTGGTGTGGCATTCCCCTTTTAAAACATCCATTATGGGAACTGGATCTCTGCCTGCCCAAGATTACCACACAACGCTCCTGACTAAACTGAGTTTAAAAGCACCTAAAAGGCACAATGGAGGTGAAATCATACCCCATGGATGGAAAATCATAATAATTTCTACCAAACCAATTACACCTTCAAATAAAAAAATGTACGGAATTTGAAATAGCATGGCCTTGAGGTTTCTGAGTAGTGATCTATTCAAATTCCAGAGGCAGGTTTGGTAAATCTTTAAATACGCAGGTAAAACAATCCGCTTGGATGCGAGTGTCTGAAGTGTCAAGGGTCAAACAGGTTTACTTGCAAAATGCCTTTCAGGAAGGAAGTGGTGTAAACAAAGGAGACAAAGTATGCTTCTCCGGCAGCAGTCAAGTGAGCCATGTTGTGTTTCTGCATCACAGCCAACAAGCACTAAATCACCCGAACTGATCAAGTGCAAAGTTCCCAATCCAATCACGCAGCCACTTTCCACTTCTCAGTGATGAAAGGAGACGTGTGTGGGCTGACACCTCCACCTTAGAATAATCACAAATGCAAATGTGCCACAACCTTAAATCACACACACACACGAGTAGATTATTTTTCTTCTTTTATCAACCACAGACGTTTTAAACAACTTTCTATCAGAGGACTTTCCTGCAGGATAATGTAAATAAAAAAAGCATTTATATCACACGGTTTGTTGTTCTGCTTCAGCTCAGCACCAGTGTGGGGGATCTGCTACCAACTTGACTTTCTTCAACTTGTTCGTCCATTGAACGAAACTTATTTGGACCTGAATCTGAAACCACGGAGCTCCAGGAGCCGGGGTCAGGGCTCTTTTGGCCCTGACCCCGGCTCCTGCACACGGATCCAGGAAATTAAAGCTAACTCCACAGTTTGTTTAGCACCGTAGCTTGTGGGACATGCGCTTAAAAAAAAAAAAAAAAAGTTGATATAAAGTTGGAAGAAGCAGTGTTAAAAGTTTGTTCGGATTCGCCGGATGTTAAAGGGTAAAGCCCCGCGGAGGGGCACCGACTCTCCGGGTTTACAGAAACCACGGGGGACTCGGATGGATCCACTCCAGCGCCATAATTTTGTCACACTTTCCCTGGAGCTCGTTAGCATGCTAACCCGCTAGCCACTGAAGCTACAGGCGCTGTTGTTTTCCCGTGAGGAACAAATAACACAAAAAAAAAATAACAGAAAAAATTAAAACGATGATTTTTTATTAGATGCATGTGACCGCGACACTCACCGGAGTCTCCCGGGGTTTTCATCTCCGTGGCCGTCTTCGGTGCGTCGCCTCGGTCACTTTCCCCCCGTCGACTGGTAACTTTAGACGGTGGTTCGTTAGCTAGCTAGCCCGTTAGCAGGGTTAGCCGTGACACCCCACTCCCTCCTCCGGTGTTGTTCGCGCAAGAGGCTCGCTGAGGGGAAGAACCAGCCCCGAGCTCGGTGCCTGGAAGTTGTGGCGGAATCGGATAAAAACCTCCGTTAGGCTCCGGTTTTTCTCTCCGTCTCATCCACGTTGGCTGAAAAACTTTTTTCTGGTTGTTTTTCAGGACGCGAGTAAAAAAAAAAAAAAAAAAAAAAAGTTGCCCCGAGGTCTCCGGAGGAGTACGGGGGGGGGAGGAGGAGGAGGAGGAGGGGACGATCCCGGTCGCCCCGGTCCGAATGGCGCAGAGTCGAAGTAGTTTGGCGGAGTCGTGCCGCGGTCGGTGCTGCAGCGACGGAATGCGACGGGTCTAAGCGCGGAGCCCGAGTGTGGTGGCGACGTCGCAGGGTCGATTCCTCCTCCACATCACCATCTTCATCATCACCGCCGCCACCATCATCATCATCATCATCATCCTCCTCGGTCCAGAAAAGCGGCGCTGCCGAAAGGAACAAAAGTACCGGTGCCAACTCTCCCTCTCTCTGCCCGCTCCCTCTCTCTTCCTCCGGCTCACACTTTCTTCTTTTTCCACTCACTCGCTCACTTCGTGTCCGCCCCCCCCCACCACCACCTCCTCCTCCTCCTCCTCCCCCCCTCCTTCCTCCGCCGGGGTGTCGTGTTTCTCTCCTCCCGCCACGCGGGGCCGCCCACGCTGACCCACGGAGGGAGGGAGCGCGAGAGGAACTCAACGCCCACTTGTTGCCAAAGATCGTCTATTGATTCCGGAGGACTTACTTTACATTCCACTACAACAGTGAGCCGCGGCTGCATTCTGGGATTTAGAAACAAATAAATAAATAAATGAATAAAAAAATAAAAAACCTATGGAGCAAAGACCGTGTTTAAACGTAGGCTGGATGTATTATCAACCAGAAACTGAAGAACAATAACAAAAAACATACACAACCAGAAACTTCTGAGAGAAATCATTGTTTGGGACAAGAACACAACATTCTGGAGGAACAGGGCCGTAATCAGTGTCCCGAGGGGCCACGAGCCCATTTATATATATTAAGGCCCCAAGATGGATCCATCAAAATGCAAAAACCTTTTTCTTTCCCCGTATCAGAAGATGAGAAATGTCCGTACGACAGATGACGCTCCAGCATATGTTCAGTTCCCACGCGAGGGAAAGTTTCAGCCGCAGAAAGGTCAAAACTTTACCCGGGTGTTTAATAAACGTTAGCGGGAGTGTAGATGTGCAGACATTTGTCTTCGGCCTCATCATATTCCACCAGAGACACGGGGAACATTGCTTAGAAAATAGGGAACAGTTTAGTTGTAGGTCAGGTTCAACATACACTTTGGATTGATCTACATACAGTTCATTGATTTAATTTCCCAGGGTGACTTATTTTAAGTGTTATTAGTTATTTGTTTTGGTTTTTTTTATTTCCGTGGCTCATCCTCCTCGTATAGACGATCTTGGACGTCGCTTTGTCGCCACGCTCTCTCCCGGTTGGCGCGTCACTGCGTTGCTGTGGAGACCCGTTACCGCCGCCGGTGATGCGCGTGTTTACCTGAAACTGCCACAGCGACGCAACCGCGACCTGACACACACACACACACACACACACACACACACACACACACACACACACACACACACACACACCCTCTCTCTCTAATGAAGGATCTTCTTACATCAGAGAAATGAGCAGAAATACTCCAGAGAAGTGGAGGGAGCAGAATGAAGAGGAGAAGAGGAGGAAGAGGAGAAGAGGAGAAGAAGAGAAGAGACGAAAAGGAGGAAGAGGAGAAGAGGAGTGTGTGATGATGGGTGGGAACACCCCTTTTCTTTTTCCACTAATCCCTCCATCCTTCCTTCCTCCATCCTTCCTCCTGAGTCCTCTGCTCATTTACTTTGAGTGGCAGCGAGTGGGAAGTGAAGGCCACCACACACACACACACACACACACACACTCTCACACACACACACACACACACACACACACACACACACTCACCAACAGAGGCACAGTAACATCAACAGAGACAGAAAACATCTCATATCAGTTTTACCTCGTCTCTCTGCTGTCACATCCACCTGTCCTCGTCCTCCTCCTCCTCCTCCTCCTCTTCTGTGAGCATCTCTCCTCCTCCTCCTCCTCATCTCTTCTTCAGTAAAGTACTTCAGCACAGCCTGAAGTACTTTGTAATTTATTGTTATGTCACTCCTACTCCTCTTCCACTCCTCTGCTCTGCCCTTCATCCTCCTCACCTCCTGCTTTCTTCCTCTTTGCCTACACCTCACCTCCTTCAAGCCTCCTCCTCTTCACTCCCTCACCTTTATTCCTCATCCACCCATCGTCCTCCGGTCTTTACCTGATGCTTCATCACACCTGTGCTACATAAACCTCCTCCAGAAAAGTCACCCTGGTTGTTCTCTAGATTAAAGTTTCATCTCACTGGTTGTTGACACAGATTTATAGTTTCTCATTTCATATTAAACATTCTGCTTTTACTCTACTCTTGGACACAGCTTAGTGGTTTCCCCTTGTTTCCAATGTTTGTCAGGAAAAGATCAGAAAACTGTGAAAATGTTTTTTTCTGTTTAAAACCAGAATGGTTTCAAGAAAACAAGCAAATATTCACATTTGAGAAGATACATCTTTCATTTCCTACAATGATAAGTCAAGATGTCGTGAATAAGCCTGTGAGTTCATTGTTTCAGCTCCAGTTTTTATTTGTTTCATGTGGTTGTTGCTGTTCCTGAGGACAAGTCGGGACAGAACCCTGACAAACCTCGTTGAGAACGGCTCTGTCGCTGCGCCGTGCTCAGCCTGACGAGCTGTTGATGACAGAAAGATTAAGATGTTTCAGATCCACTTTCACAGTCGTCACACAAAGACTGTTGAATCCACCTGAACGACTCAAACGCTTTAATCTCTGACACTCACTCACAGAAAATCAAATATTTACACAGATTTCACTCTGAATTCATTAAGTTAACCATCTTACTGTGGCTCTTTACAAAACGTATTTAGGAATATTCGCTGTATTAGTTTAGTAGAGCTCAAAATGTTTTCATTGGACTGTTACTGCGAAAAGTATTTGTCTAACAAAGCGTCCTTATCACATATATTATGGAGTTAATGTATATTTGAGCATTGCTCTTATAACCAATGTGACATAAAAACAATATTAAAACACTGTTGTTGGGCTTTCTAGTTAATAACAACTGTAAAGTGTCTGGTTTTGGGTTTAGTTGCTTCAGTCTGATCATTATAATGATCAGGTCACAGTTCTTGTTCCCAAAGGAATGACAAGAGAGTGAATGTGAGTCTGTCAAATGTCGCATACAAATATGTTGTTGGAAAGTTTCCTCACACACTTGAACTATGTGTCAGTGCTGTTAACAAAGCCCACGGTTCCACAGCACTGAGTTTATCCTCACACGTCTTCCTGCGCTTTGAGCGCAGCACTAAAGTCAGTTAATAACTTCCAAATGATTTCTAATTTTGGACTCACAACTCAGCAACTTGAAGCGGAGCCGCATCAGCACTTGGACTGAGAGTGTGTGGGGACTGAAAAGCTGTGGTGGAAACAACAGTTGGCTGATGGAGGAGGAGGAGGAGTGAGGAGGAGGAGTGAGGCAGAGCGAGTGTCTGCAGGGGTGACGGCCTGGTCGGGGGATGCAGACGCCGCCTGCATGTGAAAGCAGCAGCAACAAAGGCCCAGCAGGCCGCGCTGACGGCTACATACGTGTGAATCAGTGGGGTGATTGGGCCTAATTGATAACCAGAGTCACCATCAGTTCATTACTGTGGTGGTAATGACCCTAATCAGTAAACAGGAGCAATCAATCAGTGCTGATTGGGAAATGATAAAATACAGGAATCACCAATAAGTTATTTTGACCTTGATATTTGATTATTCACCCAATTTAAGATTTTTAAATACATCTACAGACACTAAAGCTTAACTTTATCTTAGAACTAACAAGAATGTCAGTGGAGTTCACACGTTCGCTAAGCCTCAACTGTCCGCTGATAAAACCACAGTTAAATTCCCTGGATACAGATTTTCATTTTGGGTCTGCACCAAATTATACATAAACATCCTTCCCCTAAACATGCATGATTTATTTAATCTTTATTCATTTCATTTAATATGAATTATTCTCTGTGAAATCAGGAGTAAAAGATGAAAAACATCCAATCCTGCAGCGTGAAAGATAGAATAACTGGATCTGCATTAAACGAGTACGTCGCTGACCAACACCACATCCTTCCTTTCATGGTGATTCATCCTGGAGTTTTAGTGTTGTCTTGGTCACAAACACAACTTCCTTGTAACAAACTGAGAGTTTAGTTAAGTTAACCCACAGAATAAAATCCCCAAATCCACGACGGACTGCTGCAAATGTTGTAAAAGTACAAATTTCACAATTACATAACTTTTGTCTTTGCACATTTCTAAATGTTTGTAGTATTTCTGAGTCTCGTACTTCCTTGTGCTGCTGAGTCAATTCAGGAATTTCCTCTTCGGGGGATAATCTTATCTTATCTCTTATCTCTTATCTTACTACTGTGTCTCTGTAATACTGAACAAAACTTAATTATATTATATATACAACTGGGATGTTTTCTTTTTATTCAAGTTTAAGAAAGTACGACTATTCTGTCTTTAATTGTTTTTTTTTTTTTTTTTAGAGGTAAGTGTTTTCTATTCGAGCGAATTCTGGCATGTTTTGAAAATGGAAAACAGGCCTGAGGGGGCAAATGGTAACGGAGCCACACCCAAGAGTGAGCAGCGCTCGCTGTCGACAACAAAACTGTAATGGGAGAGGCCTTTTCACACCAGCCCATCTGTATGCATAAGAAAACACACAGAGCTTCGGTGGCAGAGTCAGGACGAGGCGGTGCAGCGTGTTTGTGACAGCACAGGGAGCGAGGGAGCGTCAGTGGCTGCAGGGGAAAGTTTCCCTGCGACCCCTGCTCGTGTTTTGTTCTAAAGATGGAGTGATGGAGACATTTTCCATGTCGTGTTGCTCTGCACTGCACCATGACTGTATGTTTGTGGAATAAGGAGGCCCTTGTCCGTCTGTCTGTCTCTCTGCCCCCTGGCTGGTCAGATGATGTCTGTCCCTCTGCTGCTCTTGTCTCACTCTCAGAGCAGCAGGACAGTTTTCTGGGGTGTGTAG